GAGAGAGAGAGAGAGGATAGAGAGAACGTCGAGTCCCTCAATGCTTCTTGGCTTGCACATTTTATATCAGTATATCATATGAAGTTTCTTTCTATTGATGTTGCCTTGTAGGAGGGATTTAGAATGCCAAGAGTTAATAATTTTAATGAAACATTTTAGAATGAATTATGCCCCCTAGAGAGAGAGAGAGAGAGAGGATAAAGAGAACGTCAAGTCCCCCAAAGCTTCTTGGCTTGCATATTTTATCTCAATATATCATATGGAGTTTCTTTTTATTGATGTTACCTTGTAGGAGGATTTAGAATGCAAAGAGTTAATAATTTTACTGAAACATTTTAGAATGAATTATGCCCCCTCTTTGTACAAGAGGATGTTCATATACTTTATAAGTTGATACCTTCCTGGAAAAAAAAAATAGGACTTTAGCCTTCCAACCATCAAGCAATTGTTTAATTCTATTAATCAGAGGCTCAAAAGATGAGAGCTTATGTTTATAAGAAGAAATAAGAGTACCCAAGTAAGAGAAAGATGGTTGAGAAAGCAAAGCCTAGAGAGTTACTCAACTCTAAAAGACTGTGAGAATTTTTGGAGATGCAAATAAGACTTATGGAAGAGTTAGCCATAAGTTTGGAGGCTTTATGAAAACTCTCCAAAATATTACAAAGGTAATTGAGATTGTGTTAAGACACTTTGCAATAAAACATCACATCATCAGTGTATAGAATATGAAAGAATGAATTTATACAATCATTATGGAAAGGGGTATATTCTTGTCTAGTGATGCATTATTCATTGAGTGGACAGTGCATCAGTAGCTATACAAAAAGGAATGGAGATAGAGGGCAACCATGTCCATGCCTACTAGTGGAATGACAATAACCCTCAAAGACTTCCATTAATGTAGACAAAAACTTGATATTAGAGATACATTACTTGACTTATGAAATGTAAAGAGGATGAAAACCTTTCTCAGACAATATATCAATTAGAAAAAGAAAACTAATGATAAGTATCAAATAAAAATATTAATAACTAAATACATGACATCATTACTTTTAATTAAGAGTGTCAATTTGAATTTAAGGAATTATGATTCAATTTAAGAATAATCCAACATAATATAATATATTAAAATATTGTCAACTTATTAGCTATAACAACATTTTTTTGTGTTTGGCTTGATTAAATCATAATTGATTAAAAAATTTAAATAAAGTTAGCGTCAGTTTGGCCCAAATAAAAACTTGATCATAAACATGAGAAAATATAATTTAATACTAAAATTCATAAATAAATAAGTAATTAGTTATTTTTAAATTAAACTATTTTAATTTAATTCAGTAAAACCTTGACATTTTAGGCAGAGGGCTGTTGTTCACATGTGTGATGTCTCTCAACTAGGGCTGATTTGGCATAATCATATTAACGAGAGTCATCACACTCCTTCTCTGCTGGTTGGGACCTTTGAACGTCGGGAACCGACCCATCTCGTATGGCGTTAGTCGTTGATCAATCCTGGTGATCGGACTCTTGACGACTATACTCTTGAGAATTTTGGCTTTGTGGGTTTTTGCCTCCTCTGGCCAGGGCTTCTTGTAACGCACCACCATCTGCTCTATCATCTCCAACATCAATTATTTTTTCATCTCTATTACCTGCTACCATACAATCTCTCTTATGTTATCCACATTCGCGGCTTGCTTTCGTGTTTCTTGGACAACTATTTTGTCGCTGCGATGTGCCTCTCTTCTTGTTGGCGGCATGATTTCTCGCTCATTGCTCCTTTTAGAGTGTTGAACCCAAAAGTGTGCTGGAAGCACAATAGAGCACGTAAAAAAAATGAAAGGGAAGAGAATGAACAATAAAAATAAGCTTCTAGTGCATTTTCTCATGAAATGGTCGCCTATTTATAAGTATAAGAGACACCTTAAGTACATAAATACCATTAGGCCCTTTCCTATGAAAATGTAGGGGCATCATGGTCATTTACACAATACATTTAATTAGGCTAATAAATAATTGTTCACTAATGACGACATGCTACTTATTCGTCAACCCGTGCTTGTCCACTCTGCGATGATAGACCGAACCACTTGAAGATGGTATGAGGGTCTCTTAGTTGGATATTCCCATGGCTTCTTTTCGAATTCTGGTTCGCTCGCCTTGTTCGTCGATTGATAATGTGTCTTTGGTTCGGCCCACCCTACAGGTATCTTTCGTTCGACCTTCTTGTTCGTCGACCCGCTGACTAGGCAAATGAATTGACAACGTTCCGTGACGATCTTTTGGCTTTGACATTAATTTTTTTGATTATTCAATTTAGCTTGTTAATCGGTTCTTTCACATCTTGACCAGGGGCTCACTTCTTTTGTCGTGTTCCTTAGCTTTACACCAAGATCATGCTGCCACGATCGCGTCATATACCAAGACTTGCGACACACACACACACACACATACACATATATGTGTGTGTGTCGCAAGTCTTGGTCTGTTGCAAATTTTAGGCACATGACGCAAAAATTCGGTGCCCGAGTGCAAAGAGGAGTGGTATTTGGGGCCCACCAGACTTAAATACCGTTATATTCCTTTTTAGATTTTTCTCTAAATAATAATTTCTTTTTATGTTAAATTATAAAATAGACTAACAGTTCTCATTTCAGATTCACAGGAAAATAATTAGATACAGTTGTTTTTGTCTAGCGTCTGGTCACGGCTCCAATAATTTGATAAGGTACCGCAACTGTTAGCTCTTATCCTCGCAAAATTTCTTTTGTTTTTTGACGCATCAAGCCCTTCCTCAGTTTTTATTGGTTGCTTTTGCATCTGCGTTGTCCGGATGGTTCAGTTCCGGGTTAACTGAAAAATCTCTTTTTTTTCTCTATTTTTACGTGAAAGAACGGAAAGACGGTTTTTGATTTGTGTGCGCGGAATCAAAGTTCTTCTTGATGATTCTCCGCTCGACATTTTCTTTCCCATAGAAAATACCATTAGCGCTACCAGAAAGTTTAGATTGTAAGCATTCATCTCTCAAGATTGATTTTTCTCCCTTTTAACTTTATATGAACGGTTATTTTTCTTCTGTGCGCCTGGATGATCTTCATAATTGCTCGTGCTGAATGTTTTTATCCTGTTCAAATATCAGGTTTAAACAGCGCTTTTAGCATTAGATGATAGGAATCAGACGAGAAATAATCCAATGACGAAGTATTACTCAGCGCTCAGAGAATCATGCATTTCAAACCCGGCTTCTCATGAGGAAAACCCCAAACCGGATGGATCGGGAAATAATTTTCTTCAGGGATTTGTGGCCTCATCTATGAAGATAAGGAGTTTCAACAGCAGATCATGGACACAGATACACCGCAGTGGAAAATCTCAAACTTTGGCATTTGATAAATTCACCCTGATGAAACGTTGCCAGATACCTGCTCGAGATCTAAGGCTCTTAGATCCCTTGTTTGTCTACCCGTCGACGATTCTCGGCCGAGAGAAAGCCATTGTTGTCAGCTTGGAGCAAATTAGATGCATAATCATGGCTGATGAGGTTCTGCTTATGAATGGTTTGGATAACAGCGTGCTCTACTATGAATCAGAACTGCGACAAAGACTTCAGGCCACCAAAGATCAAAATAATGAGCAAAGTATTTTTTTTTTTAATTGGGTAAATTTTCTTGATAATTTTTTTTCTTTAGAAATAAGTTAGCTGCTTTGGATTTGCAGATAACCTGCCTTTTGAATTCGTGGCTTTGGAACTTGCTCTTGAGTTGGCTTCTGCATCGCTTGAATCACAGGTACCTTAGTAATTTAATATCCTGTATTGGTAGATTCATGGAAATTATTTTTTCCCAAATTTATGTATATCTTTCTGTAAAAGTTGCCTATTATAAATATAAATATAATTATAATTAACTTGGTCAAATCAGAATAAATAAATTCAAATCTAATTCAAGTGGATGCCATCAAAACACCCATCCAACACTTGAACTAGAGAATCTTTTGTTAAAAAGTATTTAGCAATGTTAAAATTTATTTTGAACTCAAAAGAGTAAATCTTGAAATGAGAAACGAATACTTCTGTAACTATTTAATGTGGGAATAAAACTTTTGTCTTCTGTTCCCTAACATATCCTTAATGTCTTCTTTATGAAACTTAGCAAGGAACTGCACGCCTTAGAACTATTTCATTAGTGAGTATGAATTAAAGGGTATTACAATATAATCCCACTTTATTTTCTTATTTCATTGTTATACAATCCTTGTATCTATAAATAAGAACGAGGGAGTCTCATGTAATGTAAGCTTTTGAAAAACAGTATTATCTTAAATAGTTTTCCTAGTTTCCCATTCCAAAGAAAGGATGATTAAACTCGGGCTAAATGTACCAATAGTTAAATTCATTTCCAACTGAAAAACTTAAATCTGGAGATGAGAAACAAATAATTAACTTTTCTATTTCAATATATATTTTTAACTATTTTATGTGAATGTAAACCCACTATAAATTGATTCATAATGTTTCCTTATGTGACTTGGCATGTAACTGCATTCACCATGCCATTTTCAATGAAACAGGTCGCTGAACTTGAATTTGAGATGTATCCTGTACTTGATGAGCTAGCAGTCACAATTAGCACAATAAATCTTGAGCGTGTTCGAAGGCTCAAAAGTCATCTTCTTGCCTTAACCCACAAAGTTCAGAAGGTATGCATTCATTAGTAATCTTCTTTTTCTTTGGAATTTTAAAATTGCAGACCAATATTTCAGGTTCGTGATGAAATTGAAAATCTCATGGATGATGATGATGACATGGCTGAGATGTATCTAACTCTGAAGGAGGAGAGAATGGAAGCATTTCAGTCCATTGGAAATCCTCATTCTGGCAACATCTCAAAGTCTGCTCCAGTCTCACCAACATGCTCCAGTAGTATAATGAGCACAATAAGGAATGAGAGCTCCAGGAGTTCACTGAACGATGGTAGCAATGTTGAAGAATTGGAGATGCTTTTGGAAGCATATTTTGTTGTCACAGATAATACACTAGCCAAATTATTATCAGTAAGAATCTAATTCTGATATGTGTTATTTAATTTTCTATGTTTACCTGCTTTTGAACTTTGTTGAGAGTTTTGGTATTTCACAGCTGAAAGAATATATTGATGATACTGAGGATTTTATCAACATCAAACTGGTATGAAGAAATGGTGTAATCAATGTTTTATTCATTTGAATATTAACATTAATTTTATTTTTTAATGTGATTTTGGTGATTGATCAGGACAATATTCGAAATCAGCTGATTCAAATTGAGTTACTGCTCACTGCAGCCACCTTTGTTGTTACTATTTTTGCAGTTGTTACAGGTGTATTTGGGATGAATTTTCAGAGTTCAGTGTTTGATACTCCCTCTAACTTCAACTGGATCCTTATATTGTCCAGTGTTTTCTGTGGGTTCTTATACTTATCGTTCCTGCTGTATGTTAAGCACAAGAGGCTGTTACCGTCATGAATTTTTTTTGTATTATTTAGAATATGGTGCTTTTGTTTTTATTTTTATTTATTTTTTATTTTTTTATTTTTTATTTGGATTCGTTGTTGTTCTGTCCATGTATGATTCATAGTTGTCTGTAAAATATTATTTATGTTGAAAAAATGTATTCGTTTTTCTCAAGGCCTACATTTTTTTTTTCTTCTACTCGTGTCTAACTGCGGAAAAATATTACATAAGTACTACGCACGTAGAGTAACGTGCGTAGCCAATGAAATCACGTCACTACACCCCACGCGACAGAAAAAAAAATGGCGCGGTAACAAGGAATATTCCCCCCTGTGTTATTCATATGTTATTGTGTGTTATTCATGTGTTATTGTGTCCTGGGGATTATTCCTGGTGTTATAATAACACAATAACACACAATAATACATGAACAACGTAAGGGGAATATTCTCTCGTGTTACTGTGCTTTTTTTTCTCTGTCGGGAATATTCTCCCGTGTTATTCTGGTGTTATTGTGTGTTATTCATGTGTTATTGTGTCCTGAGAAAATTCTTGGTGTTATAATAACACAATAACACATCAGTAACACATAAATAACACAATAATACATGAATAACATGGGGGGGGATATTTTCTGTGTTACCGCACCGTTTTTTTTCCTGTCGCGTGGGTTGTCGTGACATGATTTCATTGGCTACGCACGTTACTCTACGTGCATAGTACTGATGTAATATTTTTTTCTTAACTGCCCTATATCCATATACTATTACTAATAAAAAATGAGTGGATTTTTAGATAGTTCTAAAAAAAAATGATTATTTTATTTTATAGTAACCTCTGTCATATTGTTGAGTTAGAGGTTGTTTGGGCTTGATTTATTTACCAAAAGAATATTTATTTTTGGCCGAAGCTCTGTTCAAACTTTTCATGATTTTGGCTAGTTTAAATTTGTGGTTGTTCAGGCTTTGGTTTTAGCTTAGCTCAAACTGGATTCATTTTGTGAGCATAAAGCTTTATTTAAGTAGCTCGTTTGAAAATATAAATGAGCATTATTGAGTCTTAATGAGCTTAGCTTATTGAGCTTAAAATATAAGCAGTTTTTACTTTTTTCTTAAGAATATACAATAAAATCTTCTACCCATGCGAGCCTAGCTAAACTGAACAATCAGCATGCCCATCAATTAACTTGGTTGCAAGCTCGTGTAGTGGAACTTATTTTGGGTCTTTTTCACTATAAAACTTTAATTATCCTTTGTAATGTGAGACTAAATAAAGTGTAGGAATATTGGGGGCTGCTAACAAAAATAAATTGAGCTGGAGGAATTATATATATTAAATTATTATATATGATCACAATGAATCAAATGAGGAGCTACTCAAGCTTGATTATTTAACATAAAATAATATTAAAGTTGGTTCAATTAGTTAATCAAACATCATGAATGAGCTCTTTAAGTTGATCCACAAGTCTTGTCAAACATTCAATTTATTTTTAGTTCTAAGAGTAAGATAATAAAAATTTGGCTATGAAATTCTGGGGATAAAGATCAGGTGGAGATGTTCTACAGATGATGATTAGGCAATGACAATAACTAACATTGATCATTAGACAAGGCTTAATGTTGAATCCAGACATGTCCTGTGAATCATACCCAAGGCAGAGCGTAGGACTGACGAGAAAGAATGACAAAAAGAGAGAATGAGGGTGCACAATCACACAAGTTTTGATAGAGTAAGTTTGTCATGTCCAGAAACGACCTCCTATTTATAGATTTCTTGTATATTATGTGTACAATTACATATTTGTCCTTATTTTAATAGAGATGTTACAAGATATTATGACACCCTTTAATATTCATTATCGGCTTCAACATCTCTTTGTATTCATAACTGATCTTATCACCATTTCATCATCATAACCACTTGAATAAGGGCATTTGGTGACTCAGTAACCTAATTGCTCAGTGGGATGGAAACCTTTACTCTGTCGATAGACATTCGGTCAGCCGAAAGGTCATTGGTCAGCCCTTTATAGAGAGAATTCTGAAAAGTGGCTTTCTTGTCGTTAGGATAAAATGGGCGTTAGGTTTAGGGTGTACCACCGTAATCTTATGGGCAGCTCTCCTTGGAAAAAGATCCTTCTAGAGTGTTAGAGAGGTGTTATGTGAGGGGAGTGGGGGAGGGGGAGGGGGGCTTTAGCCATTTTATGAGGAGTTTGACAATCGATTGAGAAAGTTAGACATGAGTAACTTTCCCTCAGATTGTGCTCTTTTTATGTCTTCATTTGGTATGCTCAACGTTATCACTAAAGGAAACAATGTTTGTTGTTTCTGTTATTTGATTATCCTGATACACCATTTTTTGGTATTTTCCAGTAGCTTTCTTATTCTCTTACTTCTTGAAAGCGGTAGCTGCAATAAGAATAAGGAATGAAGTAAAAAATTGACTTAGTTGTTCTAATGTCTTTATAAATAGGGCGTGAGTAGCACTTCTCCATTAGTTTTCTCAGTTTACTGTCTTTCAGTCAATTATCTACATAATAGATACTTATAGCAAGTGGTTAGAAGATTTATTCCAAGGAGATGAATAAGGTGGCAATGATGAAGACCTTTTGTATTTAAACTAGAAAACTTCTCTCTTCCAAGGATACAGGGCAGAAAAGGAAACTAGAGTGTAGTTACCTATGGCAAAAAGGTTGCTTGAGGATGAGGATCAGCCTGTGATAGTTATGAGGCCGATCGGTCATCATGAAGAAACTAGAAGTAGGGAGCCAGCTAGGAGAAAAATGGGTCGAGCAGGCAGTCCATAAGAAACAAAAAGCAGCGAAGCTAGAGGAAGTGGTTGAGTCGTCCAACTCATTCCGCTCCATCGTGAGATGAGTAGCAGGGCAGACGTGCCCACCACTAATGCAACGGACATTGCCCTTGTATCAATCCATGAATGGTAGGTTCAACAAACTGTCCATGTGGTTGCTAAAACTTAGTTCCCACCACATGTGGATGCAACTACGCTTCCATCGGTTGAAGAGACCAGCCGAGCGGTCCTCAGCTACCTCTTTATGAGAACATTTTATCTTTTGATTATCTGAAGTGGATCAGATCCTTGGTACTAGGAGACTTGGTCCTCTTTGATTGAATAAACTTATTCCTTTTTTTATAAAATTTGACTACTCTTGTAGATGAGAATGTCCAAATCATCGACTCTTCGATGATGGGAGCCAAACAATTTGCAGTACCAGAGGCGGCCGAGGGACCATCAGTTCCAACCTACAACCGAGGTGCATTAGATCGTCTATCTGGTCGTCATGAGGATGTTGAGTGGGATACTGACTGATGGAAAGATTTAATAAAGCTAGCCTGTGATGGGAGGTGGCCATAATAGACCTAAAAGAAGAATTGGTGGCCCTTTGCCAGGAATATCTAGTCAAGTTGGAGGTCCTCCACATGAGCATGGTGACTCTCTAAATGGAGTTGATGGACATCCGAGAAACTTGTTCAATCCTTAGAGTTTTTGCAAAGGAGGTTAGTGTGAGAGGTTTAAAATTGGAAGTTGAGCCTTGTATTAAAGTTTAGTTAGTCATGGTATTGCATTGGTTGGGGCGGTTAAAAAACCTAGTATAAAATAATTTTTATCTTGAATGAATAAATAAAAAATATATATTTTCTAAATTCTTAAATTCTTATGTCTTTTAATCTTGAATGTGTTCATTTGATGTGAATTCTTAAAGATAAAGGTATGGATCAATGGCGTTTCAAATTCTTTAAGTACCCTATACATAAAGGTTTAGGGAAAAAGATTTTGCACTTTTTAAATCTTTCTTTCCCTTCACTTCAGTCATTTTTTATCTTTCACATTGGCTTAGATCATTTCCATCGGTTCACAAGTCTTCCAAATATTCTCCCTAGGTCTTTAGTATGGTGTCATCAAACAAGAAATCTAGTTGTATTTCATTTGATGCGGAGTTAATTTAAGACACTTGCATGGACAATAAAAATTTAATGCTTGAGGTTGTGGAGCGGAAGGATACGACGGCTGACGATTTTAGCGATGAACTTGGTTGCCCTTCTGTATTGAGATTCGACTTATCTGGAACCACTATGAGTTCATCTCCATGAAAATAAAGCCAAAATCATTTGTGTTTGTCATGAACATTGTGATTTACTTGTAGCGGATGGAGATCCTCTGGTTCCTCACTCTTCATTATTCCCCTCAGTTAAATCCTCCATGCACCTGCTATCTTTCCAAAATGACACACCACCATTTCCAATATTTCAAAAGATTTAGAGAATAGCTTTCCAAACTTTAGAGCCACCATATTTGAAATTTATTTAGGAAGGGTGTGTGTCTCTACAATATTTTGAGTGCATAAACGTGGCCCATAGTGAGGTATTAACCTTAAAATTGAACCATAGTTTAATGACATTAATCTCAACAATATGGTTAAGTGTTTTGAAGCCAAGCCCCTCAGCCATTATAAGTTTACATAATTTTTTCCAACTTTCGAGTAAAGAAATTTGTTAAAACATAATTCTAATGTCTGTTGTGTGCTAGCTTTCATTTTTAAAACTTGTAATGTATAACTGGGGATGATATTTAGAATGCTTTTGAAGAGAGTGATCCCCCCGTAAGACAAGAATGAATTTTTCCAGTCATTAATGCATTTTTTGATACTTCAACAACCCCATCAAAGTGAAATTATTTAAACCTACCTTTCAATACTTTCACACCAAGTTATTTAAGAGGGAGGTTAGAGATATTTGAACTAATGAAATCTCTAATCCAATGGTGAAATGTTCTCCTCATCATCTTGCTCATGAAAATTTGGCATTTAGCACTATTTAAATTCATATCTAAGATTGTTTGGAATTGAGAAAGTAAGTTGGTTGTTCTGCACATTGAGTTATTACCCGCATTAGTAAATATAATAGCATCATCAGTATAGGCTAGATGACGAATAACCAATTTTGCTTTGTGGTGGAATTGGGTTGAAGGATGTATAAGTTGCAACTCATTAATCATACAAGAAAAATAATCGAAGGCCGGGATAAAAATAGTAGGTGAGAGAGGGTCACCCTGTTTAATCCCTCTACTTGCTTTGAAGAAACCATAAGAGTTACCATTCGAGATCCATATAGTTATTCCTCCCCAACCAATGAGATATAAGATTGCAAAAT